TAGCACCACGCGTACGTATGCGTGCGTACGCGTACGTGCCAAAAAAACAGCATACGCGTACGCGTTTTTTTTTTTATACACATATATAATGTATATATAATATATATAGTCAGTATTTAGTCACATATCTCCTCCTCCTCCTCTCGATCGTGATATTCGTCCTCCTCCTCCTCCTACCCCTCTTAAACAAGAAAAAAAACAAAAAATCAGCACAATATGACAGTTTCAGTGCAATTCGGTGCAAAATTCGTCGAAAATAACACCCCTGGTTAACCACGTGTGTTTCTGTCTGTCTCTGTCACATGCTGCGCCCTCGGGAGTCTGCCCGGACGCAGCCATCATTGCGTACGCAAACCTGCTTGCAGTCACACTGTCAGACAGTCGGCCGAATCTCACAGAGAGAAGTCCTTTCCTCTTCAAGCGGTCCCATCCACCATCAAGTCCGCGTCAACTTTCCCGTGGTGTGTGGGCCTGCAGCCCACCTTCATGAGTCTTTGCTGTGCGATCTGGCATCATGGACGGACTGTGTTTTACTTATTTTATCTGTATTCTACCTGTGCAAGATAGCCCGTTGGTCCCCCCAATTGGCATTAAAAAGCAGTGTCTTCTGATGTTCATAGGGGAGGGGTAATCGGGGAGGCACAGCGACTGGCCGCTCAGATGATGCTCGGACCCTCTGCTACCGGCTGTCCCCTGGCCGGTGTCCCCCATTGGGGGTTCCCTGAAGGCAATCAAGGCCACCCTGGGCTGAAAAGGCCACCCGATGTCAGATTAGACACAATATTGAATTTACCTGGGCTGGTTAGTCCGATAATAATACCTCAAGGCCATCGCCCTTTCAAAAAAAAAACAAAGAAAAAAGGAATAAACATGGGAATAGTTAGAAAACCTCCCCGCGAAGAAACCTTTGTATTCATTTCACGGTTTTCACCCCAAACCCGCCAAAAGGTGTCGCAGGCCCCCAAAATGACTTATCTCGCCGCGGGGAGGCTTTTTTATAGCTTTTCCCAATAAACATATGCGGAATAAATTCAATCTGGCCACAATTGTGCGGTATGTACTTGTCTTATTTTATATGGTCCAAGTTATGTACTTTTTCTATTTGATCGGGATCGGACTAAGTCTTGTGCAGGCCGCCAAATTCTAAACGAATTTTGGAATCCGACAATTTATGAATTCAATGTTCGGACCGCTCCGAACGGGTGAAGGACCGCTCGGCGACGGCGGACACCATGTACAACTTGTATATAATCATTAGGTCTTCAGCGAACGGATCTTCGTCTGTGGATTGCGTGGACCCGAAGTCAACGCAACAAAGAAAGCAGGAACGAGAAATAGAGCAGGACAAGATAGATTCCATCCGAGAAAAATGTTTTGGACCCAGCGGTACTGTCAAGAGAGTGGAGTATGTCGGATCTGGAATACTCTGGGCACCGAGCAGAGACCTCGGCGCAGAGGTAGGAAGAGGAACATGGCGCGAAGATCAGCGGCTATTTCTTAAGCGTAATTTGCTAGGGAGATCACTGATCAGCTGATAAGAAAACCTGGCAAACGGGACATGTGGCGGTTGAATTCGTGCGTGTAGGAGTGTAGATGAGATCTCTACTCGTAAGGGCGATGTGAGACCGAGACAAATATTTGTGCGTGTACCTCTGTGTGTGTGTGTGTGTGTGTGTGTGTGTGTGAGAGAGAGAGAGAGAGAGAGAGAGAGAGAGAGAGAGAGAGAGAGAATATTTGTGCGTGTGCCTCTCTGTGTGCGTGTGTGTGTGTGTGAGAGAGAGAGAGAGAGAGAGCATACTTGTGCGTGCACCTGTGTGTGTGTGTGTGTGTGAGAGAGAGAGAGAGAGAATATTTGTGCGTGTACCTCTGTGTGTGTGCTGTCTCTTAT